TTATGTAGATTTTCATTTCTTATGTACCATGGTGCATCAACGATACTACGAAGTACTTTATTCTGGAAGCGCTGGATGACGTTTCTATTGCTCTGCTCTAACAAAAGCATTTGAAAAACATCATTAAAACAGCAATTAGTTACCTAAAATAGTTTTGGACAACTTTTCGGGTCAAATACCCCTATGTGCGGCGAGTAGGTGAGAAATAAAATACTATCCGCGAACCAAGCAGACAGGAAACGTGGGGCCCCATAGCTGCTGTTGCAGCAAAGCACCTAGAAGATGGAGACTCCGAAATCAAAGCCCCTGGTTGGGGCTGAGATATCGGCTAACTCCCTGGTACTCGGGAAACATGAATTGTTAAAAAATCCAATCTTCAGCCTCGGAATAGGAAGAAACAAAGACGACGACAAATGCAACCAAAAAGGTCAATGATTTTTACTACATGGAACGTTGAAGGGCTCGCTAAGAAACTGAATGAAGTATTGAACGCGCAGACTTCATTGAAGTCGATATAGCTGTTATCAGTGAAACGAAAAAGAAAGGACAAGGCTCAGAAACCTTAGCAAAATACAATCATTTCTACAGCGGCGTACCTTAGGAAGCAAGGGCGAAACAGGGAGTGTCCATACTAATACATAGAAGGTGACGGAAATACATTACAACATGGGAACCCATAAACGAACGAGTGATAAAGGTGAATATGACAATACTTAGATAGAGAATAGTCATTCTAGGGGTGTCCGCAGTAAACTAAGTGGCAAGAAAACAAAAATGTTTTTTTTGCAAAAACTGCGAATGCTACAAGATTCGAGAAAGAGCACAAAATTGTGAAGAAATAATTAGTGCATCAACCAAAAAATAATAATTTGATTTCATCCACCAAATAAAGAGTCCTGGTAGTTTTTGTGTCACGACACTCAAGAATTCACCACTTGTCCAAAACGACTAAACTCTATTGCTTCATAATAATACGAGGCTTTCATAAGAACAAATTCACAGCGAGTTTCACTAAAATACATTGTACCATTCTCACGATATTTCAAAAAAGATCATTTTTTTTTAAGAACTTTGACCCTCAATAGCCAGAGGAGCCAGTTTTTGTTAGGACAGTTTTTGTTAATAAACGTTAGGTCAGATCGTCTTCTTTTGTTGCAAAGAATATCGCAGTATCCTTTTGATCACGTGCTTACGGGACCGTAAATACGTTAAAATATTTTAACAGCGTGTTTTTCTGGCCATTCTAGAATGGCGTGTTCCTGAGAATTTTTTAACTATGAGGTTTCGTTTATGAGTTATTTGATTTTCAAAATGGCGGAAAATATTAGTTTTTGTTGTTTTCCTGTAAAACGGTTAAACATCGAAACTTCAACTTTGGTATACATTATAAGCTAATTCAGTACAATTTTATGATAGTGTTTCGTGGTTCAGTTTACCTTTATACAGGGTAGATATGTGGAACCCCTACTTTTGTTTTGCTCAGAACTTTTTTGTGTGCACTTAAACTTTACTCGACATAATTTTTTTCAATTCTACACGTTATTTTCCAACTTTTTTATCTCTTATTGTTTTTTCCTTAGACCAATAGGTTGCCCAAAAAAATCGTTTTCTATGCCGTCTCAAAATGTGTAAGTAATTTAGTTAATGTTTTAAAATCTAATAACGTGTTCATATAACAATTTTGGTACGCACTATTAGTTGATTACTAACAACCTAAATTATTTTTCTAAATTGTTTATTTTGGTTCAAATTACAATTATCAAGTTTAAATTAATTTTACTTAAATAATAACATGGTAACAATATACGCAACGATATAAACAAACAAAATTAAATTTAAAATACCATTCTAATGTTAACTTAGCAGCTGTACAAATTGAATGTAATGAAGTTCTTCGATTGTATTCAGTTCTGTTGAATACACCGTACTTTTTAAATTGCCCCAGAAGTGAAAATCAAGCGCGCTTCTAGACCTCTCCCAATCCAACGGCTTGGAAAGTTTTGATCAAGCCGAGCCGATTTAATTTTTTTGCGGGCAAACTAGTGCTCTTAAGAAAAAAACAATAAGAGATAAAAAAGTTGATAAATAACTAGTAGTAATTAAAAAAATATGCTGATAAAAGTTTAGGTGCACACGAAAAAGTTCGAAGCAAAAAAAAATAGGGGTTCCGCATTTCTACCCTGTATGAAGGTAAACTGAACTACAAAACACTACGATACAATTGCACTCAATTCGCTTATCAAGTATACCAAAATTGAAGTTTCTATATTTAACGGTTTTAACGGAAAACAACAGAAACTAATACTTTTTCTTATTTTAGAGATCAAATATCTCAAAAATGAGACCTCAAAATAAAAAAATTTGCAAGAAGACCCCCATCTAAAATGACTAGGAGAACACGCTGTTAAAATATTTTAACATATTCACGGAATGCCCTGTAGATCTTTTAATATCGAATATAATGTCACGGTAAGAAATATAGTAATGTGGCGTATTATAATAAAGAAATATTGTAATGCGTTGATTTGAAGAAATTTCTCATTTTGAAAATGCTCAAAATTTTTTTTTCATTGTTTTTTTAGAAATTTCTGTAGACGCGAGGTCACCCATTCGACAGGACAGGAACAAAGGCACATTTCGACAGGTTCGGTCTATTCCCTAATAACATTTGTACCACACGCTGATGCGATTTATACCTATAAATCTTATCAGCGTGAAATTATGCAATCCATTCCCATGACGTTTAATAGACATCGCCCACGGTCTCCCAAGACGAAAGAAAACAGAATTTCGGCGGCATGCGTTGTCATATTCCACGAAGGGTTTTAGAAACCCCGAATACGATCTGAGCCGTTTTCCTTGAGAGTGGTAAAAGTCCATTTTGAGTGAAAATATCCAAAAATGAAAACAATTTACTATAAACTTTTTTGAAAAAAATTTTTTTTTTTTAAATCAACAAAAATTGCACATAATGAAACAAATGTGAAACCTAAATCTGACGAACACACAGGGTTAAGAACCCTATAAATATTATTGCTTTTATGCGAACTTACACCGAAATGCTCGTCACAGGTTACTTTTACAAATGTTTTTCCTGGTGTAGACGTAGTGGTACTTGTACGGCACGATACAGGACTTATAAGCCATTTTAATTTTAATAATTGAGAAACAAGCAAAACGAAACACAATTTTCACATTAGAGCATGTAAACACGTATAAGCGCTGAATGTGGCGAAGCAGAATCGTACTTCGTAACGTCACATTACGATCAGCCAAAACTCGTCGTTTCGGCGCGCTTTGTGTAAGTTTAAACTTTGACTGCTGATAGATTTGTTACAAGTAGCGAGAATGTGACAACAATTTTATGGAAAAAAAATGTGCCACGACCCCATTGTTCACCACCACCGCGCAAAAGTTGATGACGCGAATCACCAGAACACGGACGCGTATTTTTTTTATTAATTTGCAGGAGGGTAAATTGTTATTTTCATTTGCTTGTTAATATATGGGTATTTGTTTATACGCTTGTAGAAAATATGAATAATTTAGTTTATAAAAGTATACAAAGTGTATATAAAAAAATTTGCACCTTGTGAGTTTGATAATGTTGGTGTATTCGAGTATTCCATTATTCGAGTTATGACTTGATATAATTATTCGCTTTTTGAATATTCGAGTTTGATTCCGAGGCCTAGTTCCGATCACTGCTTAAAACCAAATATTAATTTTAGCCGCACGAGACTCTCGCAAGACTCTTGCAAAAGGCTTGGTCCTGCAGGACATGGTCTTGGTATTGCATTTCATGCAGGACGAATACCAAGACTGCAAGACCAAGACCAGTACATGGAAGCAAAAAGATGTACCTGCAGTTTTTCGTTCAAAACCACGTTTTCCTGGTGCACCATGCGCATTTCGGTCTGCAGGCTGCACAGTTGACGCTGAAGACACTCTACAGTGCGATCTTTGTCAATTAAGTTCGATTGAAGTCGATATCTACAAAAAAACACATAAATTTAGGTAAAAAATAGTGTTTGAAAAAGTTTGGTGTATTTGACAATTGACTGGACTTTAAATTGACAGCTGTCAGATGGGACATATTTCAACTTTGACATTTTGCATGCAGTAATTGTGTTGCAACACTGCTACGTTGGAGCGTGAAAAAATGTGACCTTCCGCAAAATATTCTTATATACAGGGTGGCCATTTTCTCAATCTTTGTATGGGTAACTTCTACATTTTTTAAGATAGAGCATCCGTTAAATGGGCAAAATTGAGCAGAATTCGATTGCCTATTCATTATCGTTTTCAAAATTTAGGTACCCGACTTGGTTCCTGAAATATCCTGAAAAGACAAGAAATCAACTATCAAATATAAAAAATAAAGTTATCTTTTTTTAAATGGTAATCATAGTTGGCTGTGGGCCTTTTAAAATCCTTATTTTTGTCTGAATTTAACGATATAACTGTTTGTATGTTTTTCTCCTTTTGTTGCCGTAAAACTTCAAAAGAAGATAAAAATGTGTAGTAGGCTATGAAAACAAGAACTCGGATTCTAAATACATGCATCATTGTATCTTCGGTAAATATAGTTTTTAATTCAAGAAAAGAAATTCAAAATAGTATACTGTTGTATTAGAATTAGACGTTTTACTTTTTGTGCTGAAGCCTGCAGCTTCAAAATCGGCTTAAGGGCCGCTCAAAGTAAAGCTGACGAAATAATTCAAATGCAAAAAGTAGCTTGAACACCATATAAAACATGCGCTTTTTCTGAAAATCTTTAAAAAACAGCGCATTTAAAGAAAATTTACTATACAAAAATTCCAAAAAAGTGCTTTAGCTGCTGCCAAACTCGCTCGCTTTTCAGTATGACTTGATGATGATTTTTCTTCGCTTACAGAAGTTACTGGCTACTGAAATTAGTGAACATGTCTGTCGTTCCAGTCAGGCCAAAATTGTATGTTTCCTACTTTTCTAAATGCAGCCGTATAAATCAATATGTATTTCAAACAACTGCACGCTCTTATGTAAAAATTCTTAAATACCAATCAACAGCAAGTAGCACCCATTGAATTTTTTTTTAGTCTAAAGAAGATACTAGCTACTGAAATCTGAACATTTCAGTAAAATTTAATTCCTTAGGGAATCTTGATGTCTTACCTACCTAGTAAATTTGCCAAATGAAGTTAATCATAAGCAAAAGCTGTTTGAATGTGAAATGAAGCTGTTGAATGTTTTTTTTTATATTTATCTTCGATATCGAAACTATCGTTCTAGAATAGTTTCTTCATTATTCTTGAGGGGTGTTCAGAATCCAACTGTTTCAACCGTACAGGAGAGTTGATGAAATAAAGCATCTGATCATGCATCATCCTAATTAGGATTTGTAGGGTTGTATTTAATCTTATGAAATGTTGTGTCATGCCTACAAATCATTTTCTAACTCCAAACAGCACCTAGTTTTCTTCCCCGGGTCACATTAATCATTTACATTGTTTTTTCAATGTCGGTAGAACAATGTTGAGCTGATTTTGATTGATGCAATGTTTAATTTTTGTCGCTTTTATGCGAATGCCAAAGTTTCCACTGCTTCTAATATGATTCATTAGGCGTTCCTGAGCTATATCCACACATTTTATGTATAATTTTCCCGTCCATCATAATGCCGCATTTCTTATTGCATTATGCCATTCAGGTCATGTATTCAACTTTCAAGGACTCTGGCAAGGGATATTGAAAAAATAATTACGAAAGTGTACATTCTAAACTGTTCGTCGAAATTTATTTACTACTTGAGGATTTACTATTTTATAGAATTTGTATAATAAACACATGAATTAACTTATACACTTTGAAATTAAAATTTCACATAGAACTACATACAAATAATATGATACAAATGAATACAAATGGGGTCCGTTCTCCTTGCAAAATTAGGGGCCAAAAGTCAATATTTACCAGTTACTGCACTCTCTGCTATAAAAATTCCCAAATATCATTCTAGAGCAAGAATCGCACATTGAGAATTATTTTTCGTTTGTTGAAAATGCTGGCTATTGAAATAAGTGCAACCTTTAAACCCAATAACAGAAAATTTTGATTTTTTGGCTTTTCGAAATGCAAAAGTCAATATATTCAACGAACTGCCAGTTCTTCTTTTAAAACACCTACCTTCTCATTTTAATCCGTCAGAAACTTGATATTTTTAGAACAAATAGAAGAAGCCTAGTTCTAGATACCCGAAGTATATTTATTATGCAGCTTACTGCAACTCTGATTTTTGCTGATGTAAATTCCGTCTTCAAGTGGACGTTTTCATACAATTGCATTATCTAATTAAAAAAATTCTGACTATCAATCTAGAGCAAAAAACAGCCAATGTGAATCTTTGTTCGGCTACAAAGAATACTGATTTCTGAAATCACGCCTTATATAAGAGCTTATACAGTTAACATCATGTTGGGTCAGGAAGTTTTTGTCCATTCCAGAAAAAGTATTCTAGAAAATTCTAGGTTACGAGGTATTGTAGGTATCGTTGCGAGGTTTCGAGAAGCCTTGACCTGAGACCATAAATACTCGGTCCGTAGTGGCCTAGGCGTTAGTTTGCTAATTTGTAGTGAAGACGGATTCTTGTCTTTATCAGGGTGACGGGACGCCTGGGTCGCGAAGATTAGCAGTGGTACGGTAGGGATGGATGCAGAGGGAATGGCGGAAGGGGCTTTTAACGCCTACTCGCCGGACCCGTCTGATCCCCCCACAATACTACTATTTAGTTAGTTGTTCTACAATAAACCTCTTGCATATTCAACCAATCGCCTATGGCTTCCGAGCTCATCAATTGGCTCAGCTAAGAACCTGATCGATGGGCTCCGAATCGATGAAAGACGGTTCCCATGGAGCTCAAGCAGCAGCGAAACGCTACTGGGACGACACCGTCAAAACTTTCACTCGACAACCTTGCGAAGCGACTGGGAGCGTTCACCTACCACCCAACGATAGGCCGCACGTTTGCACAGTGGAACCAACGGCATGAAATCACTTTCAATCAATCTACCCATCTATGCTCTTGACTGACGTCGAACAAGTCGAGCTCCTGCTGAGCGCCCTTGGTGAACAGGAGTACCGTCAGCTTTTTGGCCGTATTTCGCCCAAGAAGTCAAGCCGAAGATGAAGTTCAACGACTTGGTCAAAGAATTGAGGTACTTGTCTTCCGACACACGCACTTTCTTCCTACAACTAAAGTTTTGAGCCTATAACATTGAAAGCGACGAACAGCAAAATCGATAACGTGCTTGACGAAATCAACTTAGAAGGAGCCTTGTTCTAGTTTGACAAACTCCACTTAAGCAAGTCCAAATTCCTACTGGTGGCACACGGATAAGCGACCCCTACTACCACCCGTACCGTGCAATTATCTTGGAGGAGATCGACAACGAAACATTCAACTTCACCAAGATACGCGAGATGTGCCGTGCTCACTCTGAGCGCGTTACAAACACCACCGTCGGAAGTGGCCTGGATACTAAGCTCGACATCAATGCCGGCATGCAGAAGAAAGGCAAGAAAGGCAGTCAATGATTTTTGGAAAAAAGTTCAAACGGAAAGGTAGTAAGCATGTCAACAGGAACCCGTGCAAGTTGAGCGATTCATCGGGCGCGTCTCCAGGTGGCGGTTAGGGGGAAAGCCGGTCAGCCACCTGCCACCGGCCACAGCCACGGCAAGTGAAAGTCGTGGCATAAAATCCACGGATCTGCATCGAAAGCCGTCGCCGCGGACCAGCTCGTGACACAAACCGCAAATCGCCTGCAGTGCAACGACTCTCGTGGTTACG